CCCCCCCCCCCTCTTCTTTCTCAAAAGTTATTTACATATCAGAAAAAGTATATTGGTAAAAAAAAAATTAAGGTGAAAGTATTAAGTGCTTTTCCATATTTTGACCTAAACATGTTGAACATTCAATGATGAGATCTAACCTTGGGGAAAAGAAGCATGCATAAAGTCAAACAAGTTTTAATCTAAAGCAACTAGCAACAACTACTTCACATAGATGATGTCATCATCATCATCCTCCCATTCTTCATTGTCATAATTTGGATCGGTTGACTCATCTTGGTCAACTGTTGGATCCTGTGTGGTCTTCTCACCCTTTATCTTATCTAATATAGCAATCACCTAAAAATACAAATCAGTTAGAATTATTAATTATAATTATACATACATAATTACATATATGATATATACATATTTCTTACCCTGCTTCCTTTCTCTATAGAATCATCTTCAATAAAGCGGATCTCAGGGGTAAGTCGTAATTTCATACGCTTACCCAATTGACCACGTATGTATTTTGCTTTTGACTTCAACCCAGAAATGGCAACCTCCTTTCCTCTTTCATCACCAAAAACAGATACATGTACCTTAACCACCTATAAGAGAGAATAACCATAATCATTAAAACTTTTAGTTATCATTTACTAAACTAGATATGACTATGCCAAAATTACAACAATATCCATTTCCAGATGCTCATGAAAAGAGCAAAATGCAAAATTTCCTTGTTTGCACTTTTTCAAGCCAAAATTACATATCTAAAACATTGCCATCCTTTTATAGAATTGATGATAAAGGTTTGGATCCACAAGGTTCTTCCATTTTGTCAATCTTGAAGGGTACAATTATATGAAATGATTGATTAATAATCAAGCCTTTCCCTTAAACTATGCCGATTAACATTTTTCTCACAATAATTGGCTTTAACAATCTCGTATGTGTGTTTAAATAAACGAATAAATCTTACATTAAAGGGAGTTATGGGAATTACAATAGTGGAAAAGTAGTCCATCACTGCTACCAATCTGGAGGAAAAGAACAAATGTGAAGTACATAGAGCGCTTTACTTTGATTTTAGGGGCAACTAATAGGGTATATTAGCTTGATTGATCTCAAGAATGAGCAGCAAATGTAAGACTCCTTCTGATCTTGGTCAACAGGATAAGTAGTTCAGAAAAACTAGAGCTACAATTAGGCCATTGGCAAGAAGAATAACCATTCAGCAGTGGCAGACATATAACAGTTCATAAACATAATGTTGTCATTTAATAACACCAATGTAGCTTAAAGTTACTGAACTGAAAATGAGATACCAAGAACAGCAATTAACTCAATGACTTGCAACGGATTTGGAGAAAAACAAGAATACTAAATAAAAATCCAAGATCAAAGCGCTAGGGTTGGTTCATAGTCAACATATAAATTTCAAAATAAAAAGCCTCGTTTATTGACTCTTTAGGTCAATCATATACCTTCCAAACTTATATTTGCTGCTTTGATTTGAAAATTTTCCCTAGAGAGTGACACATAAACCTCACTTCTTAGTACATATAAGGTTTAACAAGTAACATAGTTATCACATTCCTTGTTCGAAACATATCAATCACGAAGTTAAAATTAGGCAATTAGACCTCAAAAGTATCATCACCTATAATGTTACCTGTAAATCGGATGAGACTTCAACATCACTGATGGTAGTAAGAGATGATAGATACCGGTCAGCACCGAGGGCAGCTTCGGGGAGAATAGCGTACTGTAAAACCTGGTCGGTCAGCAACATATCAGCTAGCTCTCTCTGTATCTGCTTCGCTACCATTTTCACCCTCCTCTCCTTCGCCATACATATAACCACCCTATCTCTACTAGTAGTTGTACTCCCGTATGGCGAAAACGTCAACGTATAACCGAATTTCGCCGCTGGAAATCGAATCGATCTCGGTAACGATGGTACGAAAGTCGACAAAGAGCAGCATGTTGTGTTGGTAGTCAGCGGAGGAGGACGGTGGTGATTGGTGGTAACGATAGACTGCGGCATCACAGAAGAAATCGTCTCCGTCGCTTCTGGAGCAGAAGAGGATACGAAAGAGAGGAAGAGGCTCTGCGAGAAAGAATAGGCTGTTCGCTGTTTGTTTAAAACCGAATAGGGATGGATGGATAGGACTATTTGGTTAGGATATTTGGATTTTTGGATTGATTTTCAATAAAATCTAATTATTATTTGAGATTTCAAATTGGTTTTGGTTTATAAAATAAGAACCGAATAATCAATAAAAAACAAATAACAATTTATTATTTATTTATTTTTAATATATCTATAATTATTTATTAACTTTATAATTTATTTATTTCAAAAAGGTTCAAAACGTTTTACCTGATAAAAAAAATTAATATGCATTTTCTCTCAAAAGTTTATTATCTATTAAATATTAAATTATAATATATCTTCTTAGTAGTTGTTTATAAATAATGTGTTTCTGATTCTTCTATAAAAAATAGATAATATTATAATTATATGTCGTTTTAAAATGTTTTAGTTTTTTAAAACCAAATTATAAAAACCGATCCAACCGAATTGTAATTGGATTGGATCGGATCGGATTTGAATTTAGTTTGAATAATTCGGATCCATGTTTTGAAAACCGAAATCAATGTGGATTTACTTAATTGGATCGGATCGAACCGATCCCTCCAAACGAACACCCCTAAGAAAGAATATCCTTTTGGCAGAAATTTTGGGGTATGATTGCAGATTGGTCCTTAAAGATTGGAAAATGTTGCACATTTTAGTTTTGGGATAAAATTATAAAACAACAATAGATTTTTTATTCCGTCCAACTTAAATCGCTCCTCTATAGTTCTATTCTCATTCTTTTCTTTTCATACATACATAGATACTTTAAAGTTAACAAGAGGTTGGATTTTATAGTTATGTCATCATCATATTTGTTTAATACAACATTATTAATCCGTTTGCAACGTGTAGTACTTGACATCATAAAAATACAAACAATACTTAACCATTTATAAAGTGTATTAATTAAACATTAACATTAATATGGTATAGTTATAAGAACAATAATCAGAAGGCCTAGTGGTTTTGGATGATGACATGGTAAGTACTCTCCCATAACCAACCCAAATTCAATCTTGTCCAAGGCACATTAGGGTTTGCTAGGAGAAGGTGTGACGTGGTTCACAACGGGACTCAATTGCCAGATAAAATCCCTCCCCCATAACCTTGAATTACATGGAAGGTGCTACGGTCGGTGGATAACAATAATTGTATATTTATAAGTAATGTTCAGTTTGAGAATGACATTATACTTTATAAAATAGTTAACATCGGTAAAATTATATCAAAACATCTCAAAGGATTTAAAACATCTTTAAAACTACGATGTGTTTATCATATATGAGGGATATCCAATGTCATGTTGATGTTTCCTCTAACATTAGTGATACATTCACACATACAAGGAAGATCGACCCTCACTTATGGGTAGCTAACTCGGTTGTGTAACAATGATTTGGCTAAATGGATTCCATAACACTCCACCAACAAGCTCACAACCTCTCAAATACATACATCAATCAAAACATATATAAGAAACACATTTATTGTTTCAAGAGAAAAAAAAACAATTTCAACATGTTTATGAAAAAAACAAACAAACTTGTTGTTGTCTTGTTCAACGACGACAACGTTAAAGAAAGAAGGAAGCGACATGAAAGCTAGCGATGGTGGCAAGGAAGGTTGCATACAGCCAATGTGTAGAGGAGAAGGAAGCACGAGACAATCGGAGAAGCATTAGACATGAGAGAGGAAATAGGCAAAAGCAACACTCATTATTTTTTATTATTATTTTTTTTATTTTTACAATACGGGTGATTCAAAGATAGGGTGAATGTTGAATCGCTAAAAGGGTGCTTAATCATTCAAAGACTCGTTATAAACTTACCAAACATCCTAATTAAATGGTTTAGGCGAAGAAACGACCATTTAATAGGTAATAGGGCGTGTTTTAGTCGTTTAATGAAAATATAAGGGGCAAAAGTCTTATAAAGTGATTGTGTAAGGGGGTAATGTACAAGTATTATCTTTATACATGTAATAAACTTTGCCCTTATTTATCGTTATCGTCGCTGCGTAAACCCTTTTAAAACCTCTCACGGCGGCAGCCGTTCTCTCATCTAGTTGAGGTTTGTTTGTTTCGATTCATGAATTCAATCAATTGTTCATATTTCAAAAACTCCTTGTTTCACCATTTAAAGGAATTGACCAATATACCCCATGACCTAATAAACCTTATACAACAACACATATCACACACGCCTCCATTCTATCGATCGTTGCTGCTCCTGTCGTTGCCTCCTCAAGCTAACCCTCCCTGCTCGCCGCCGTTAGCCATCTCCTCCCCACCGCCCAGAGATCGTCGCAGCCGACAGCAACATCGGAGACCTTCGACCCCACAGCTAAGGTTCATGTTTGTTCCTGCTGTCTGCATTCGTCTTTCTTTTTCCGGTTGTCTGCTTTCATTCGTCTCCTTTTCGATTTTTTTTTTGTGCTGCTGTCGATCTTCCTTGTTTCCCTGGTATCTGTTCGATTATTACTAACCACTTGTGTTTGATGCAGTTTATTTTATAAACACAATTTGGGGCAACAAGTGAACATATAATTCGTAGATGGCTCGTTTCTCTTTTCAAGAGTACTCTTTAGCTGTTGATATTGTCAACTCCCAGTTACGCCCAAGAGCTCCAAAAGACCTCTTCAAAAACTCTCCCCTGGTATTTCCCTATTTCACATATTTTTTTTTTTATCATTTCGGTTAACTTCAAAAAAAAATAGCAATCTACATTTGTTGATTTATTTTTTTGTATTTAGTCATTATCATTTTTTCACAAAGCTAATATTGATGTTGATTGAGTAAAATTTGAATTTGATTACAGATTGTGCTGGCTGGTTTTGGGGACTGGTGAACAACATTTGAAGCTTACAACCATTATGTTTCAAAATATCTTCCCTGCCATTGACATTAAAACAGTGAGTATTTCTTTTTGTTCCTTAAATGTTTTCATTTTTATATATAACTATGTATACCATGCATTTTTTTTTTGATGCATTTATTGTAATCTTTTAGCTCTTGTACATTTTCATTTTTTTTAATAAATTTTCAGGTAATAATCTTATAATGATTAATATTTTAAAAAGTTTAGTAGTAAATTAATAATACTGTATATAAGTTTTTTTTAAATGTATATAATTAATAATGTTTAGATTTAGTTTGTTTTTCATAAATTTTCAATCAATTTGATGAGGAATAAGTTATAAATTTTTTTGCAGGTGAAACTGTCATCATGCCAGAGAATTGTGTTTACTTAATTACAACAAGGAGACAAAGCTTATCGATTTTTGGCATTATTCTATCAGACTGCAGCCAGTTGGTGTCTCAGGTAGAATCAGAAAATTTGTGCAAAACCATCAACTTCCTCATCTCAGATCTCTTCAAGATGTCAGTGACTTTGTAACAAAGTAACGTTTCTTCAAGAATAAAAAAATGAGGGTAGATTTTGTAAAACTGTACAACTTAATGGGTCCTCTTTAACAACTCACTTTTTTATGTATATATATTTTTTATTTTAGGAAATAACGAGGAAAAGGAAGAGGACTCGGAGGAAGGTTCCGAAGGAGATGCGGAGGAGGGAAGCGAGCAAGAAGACATCATGGATGAGTAATACAATTTATTTTTAAAATTTATTTGGGTTCGATATTCATTTGCTATTTTTGGAAATTTGGATTCGCTTCCATTTTTGTGATATTATGGAAAATATATGTTTTTTTTTTCTTATTTATTTATTTATCATTTTCATTTGGCAATGGGCATGTGAAAATGTTTTATGGATCCAACACTATATCTCTTCTCCACATTCATTTTGTGGATCCCGATTAAGCAAAATTAGAGAAAACTATGAAAATTAATTATTTGTTTTTTAACCGATGGAATAGAAATGATTTTACTGTGTTTTTTAATGACAAATGTATATAATTTTATAAAATTCAATAAATTTTATCTTTTAAAAGTAGAGGAAAATGTGTTCCTATTACAATCTCATTTTTGGTTTGCATAAATTTTTATTATGTTAGTTTTTGTACAACCAATTAATTGTAATTGAATGATTGGCTAATTATATGAAAAAACCGTTGAAAATTTCATTTCTTCTTGGGGTTAATCGGTAACCATCCACAGATTATTTTATTTCATTTCATTTTATTTATTTATTTATTATTATTATTATTATTATTATTATTATTTTATGATTTGATTCCAAAATTTTGTAATTTTTCTGGTTTATCCGGTAACCATTCATACTGAGCTAATAGGCAACTTTGCTGATCTTTTTTTTTTTTTCTTCGTTATGTGGCAAATTAATTTTATGGCATTAAGAAGTATAAGCGTTGTTTTTGTAAACGTTTTACAAAGTTATTATCGGTTAAATTTTATAAAAGAAATCCCTGTATGGTTAAACACGCAAGTGAATAACTGCAATAATTTTCACCTTTAAATAACATATACAATAGAGTTGAAGTTATGGAGTATATCTTTATCTTTATAATCTATCTAAAAGGTTAGAGATAATTTATTTTTTCAAATCATATTGATTTGAAACCTAATAGATCTTTTATATTTCTTAATTAATAGCATTTACAATATTTATAAATTTCAATAATTTTGCGTATTCTCTAATTATATATGTACCTATATTAGTACTATTTTTTTCTCAGGAAAGCCTTTATGTAGTTGAATGTATCATTGTATTGTGATTCAAAAACCTTTCATGTAGTTCAAACGTTTACGATTCAAATATGAAATGTTGAAAAAATAGATTATGCCGCATCAATGGTAATTATAATATGATTTTTTTTTTATTTTAATTCAAAAAGCTTTCATGTCGTTCATGAGTTTACGATTCAAATAGCAGTAATATTTTTACACAAAAATATTTCATGTAGTTGAAGCGTTTGTGATTCATATATAAAGAGTTGAAGAAATTGGTTATGTCGCATCAATCGTAATTATAATATGATTTTTTTTATAATAATACTTGAAATTTGATAAATACTTGAACAAAG